ATTCAAAATCAAATCCCCTCACCTCAACAATTTTTAACAAAGGTTCAAGTGTTAAATGGTTGTGTTTTTGGAATAAATATCATCCAAACTCAAATCCCCTCAACAATGGGGTAACATAGACAAGAATCTCGACCAACCATTGAGAATCTATTGACATGAACTAATTAAATCCTCTAAAATGTGTACAAAGAGAGATTGGGAAGCACATCTTATAACTTACCTGATGCTTGCAGTATGCAATTTAGCCGAGAGAATCCTTACTGGGTGGGATTTTAGCCGATAAAAACCTTACCGGGTGCATCCAGTTTCGTTTTAGCCGAGAAAATCCTTACCGGGTGAAGTTTTGGCCGAGAAAATCCTTACCGGGTGGATTTTGGCCGAGAGAATCCTTACCGGGTGAAGTTTTGGCCGAGAAAATCCTTACCGGGTGGATTTTGGCCGAGAGAATCCTTACCGTGAAGTTTTGGCCGAGAAAATCCTTACCGGGGGATTTTGGCCGAGAGAATCCTTACCGGATCGAATTTACCCGATAAAATCCTTACCGGGTGCGAGCAGTTTTCGTTTTAGCCGAGAAAATCCTTACCGGGTGAAGTTTTGGCCGAGAAAATCCTTACCGGGTGGATTTTGGCCGAGAGAATCCTTACCGGATCGATTTTAGCCGATAAAATCCTTACCGGGTGGATTTTGGTCGAGAGAATCCTTACCGGATCGATTTTAGCCGATAAAATCCTTACCGGGTGCGCGCAGTTTTCGTTTTGGCCGAGAAAATCCTTACCGGATGAAGTTTTGGCCGATAAAATCCTTACCGGGTGGATTTTGGTCGAGAGAATCCTTACCGGATCGATTTTAGCCGATAAAATCCTTACCGGGTGCGCGCAGTTTTCGTTTTGGCCGAGAAAATCCTTACCGGATGAAGTTTTGGCCGATAAAATCCTTACCGGGTGGATTTTGGTCGAGAGAATCCTTACCGGATCGATTTTAGCCGATAAAATCCTTACCGGGTGCGCGCAGTTTTCGTTTTGGCCGAGAGAATCCTTACCGGATGCGCACCTGGTAAGGTTTTTATCGGCTAAAAATCCAAATTTCAAAAAATTTCGAAAATTGTCGAATTTAATGTGAAATTTCTGAACCAAAACGTCAGAAATCTTAATATAAAATATAAAAATGGCAAAACAACAAAAATAAAAAATCAATTGTCGATAAAAACTAATCCGGGCCGCCTATGGCGACCCGGCACGTCGTAGCCCTCGAAAAGTTATGCGGAATCAAAAAAAAAAATTCCACAAACGGATTACTCTACGCAAAGTTATGGTGTTTTCAAATCTTGCAAATCCCTTACTCACCTACATTTCAGCACGCCAGAAGGAGAGATTCACGCTCTACATTAAGTGCTTTGTCTAAAATTTGCAATATAAGCATAATACTTTTCCAAATTGCAATTTATGCCATTCCTCTTCCTTCCACATCCACGATATGTTATTCTTTCTTCTGGTTAGGATTAACTCTTCTGCTCTCAAATGGTTGCTCACGCCCCACTCTCTCAGTAAGGATCCTATTTGAATTCCACGAAGGAGCCACAAATCGAGGATGTGATGTTGATGATTGCCGACAAACTGTAATGTAAGTGACTCTTCAGCTACACAGGGATAATGCCTTAATCGTGAGTTGCAGTTAATCTGAATAGAGAAACAAACCTTACAGACCACTGAAAATTCCCCAGGGTAGTGTCTGATCGTGTTTCAGATCCTCTTCTATGTACATCTGTTTGGTTTTTGATTTATTAAAATTTTAGGTTTCGGTTTGTTTCATGGCTATTTTGTTCTAGTTGACAAAGCAATTGCTGCCTGATTATACTCGTTTATTGTTCTCTGGTTATTTCCATATGCATCTGATGATTGTTTTAGTTATATATTTCTCTTCACTTACTCCTTATAGAATGTTTCTACTATGTCTCCCCTTCTTAGTTTCACCGAGATTGTTCTCCATCTGTTTCTGTTTGTTTGTATACTGAACGTTCGGCACAACATAGAGTAACAAATAGATTCCTTGACTTTGATTTGTTATTCTTATAGAGTATATAGCATCAGAAAAATAGATACATTATCACGCTTTTTACATAAATTATTTCACGTTATTAAAAAAAGAAATCTTAAATCATCTCATTGTCATCATGAATCTGAACTCTGGTTTTTATATGAGATACTATGAATTTAAAATGTTAATGTAGCAACACGTGTTCTGTATATCAGCTTGATTCTTCTCCAACTCGATTCAGATCGTTATCATTAACAAGACTATGGGAGACCGACAAAAAGAAGGTTCACTTACAGGTTAGGGTTACTTTATATGTCTATTTGCTTTATTAATGTTTCTGAAATAATATTACTGCTATTTCTACCATCTGTTTGCTTTCTCCTATGGTGTAATTGTGACATCAAGGGTTTAGGGAAACAACTATATACTAATAAAATTAGATAAAATAGATGTTGCTTATTATATTAAAAAGTTTCATTTTGGTTCATTGCTTCTTAAATTTTTTTTTTGATTTTGGGTATTTATTCCTATTATTTACATCATCTCAAACTGAATGCTAAAATAATCAGGTGAGATAAATCTTATGGTAGTTTCAGAGTTCTAGGGGAAATTACATAATTATAGATTTTTGTACTAATAATGTTCACTGGTTCCCTAAAGATTTTACATAGTATCATGTTTAATTTTCGTAGGGAATTTCTAAATGATATTATGGAGTTGACCAATATCATTTTATTTTCTCTCTCTGACTTGGAATAAACAATTTCACATGTATACTTTCAAAGGGCTATATAGTGATTATATTCACGGTAAATATATAACTGCTTTAAATTCAAAAAAATGAATTTTCTTTTACGGCTGATTTTCTCAGCCAAAGTATTGTCGCAATGATACACCATCAATTAATCTTTTCGTTTCAAAATGCAGAAAATCTTAGACCATCTTTTGGTTTCAGAAATGCAGAAAATCTTAGACCATGTTCTGTTTTCTTTGGTTCTAGCTTTTAGTATGAACCATTGTGACAAATAATTATTAAATCTTCGTTTTCTCATAAAGATAGCGTAAACGAAGTAATTCTAAGAGCCAAACTAAGACACACTAACCGCTATATGTAGATGCAAAACCATGACACAAAAAACTAGCTAAAAAAGTGCAATAGTGCAACTATCAAATCTCCCTAAATTTCTTTTTGCTTCTCTTCAACCAAATAAAGTTTCTCCCCTTCCAATGTGCGTGCCTAAAAATAAGGACAAAGGGTCTTATTATAGTTTTCTCCCTCTTGTAACCGCCTTATGTGAACAGGTGCGTGTTGTTTGGCCGAACAGGTGCGTTGTTCAGCTAGCTCAACTCCCACTCAACTGAACCCAGCTACCGATCACTTAGCCTAGCTGAACTGAGCCTAAGGGAAGCTAATCCAGCTAGATTAACTGATACGATTTCCCTAGGACTTGAACTTGCTCGATCGGTTGAGGTTGATAAGACTCGGCCAAATCTGTTTGATCGGAGAGATGCTAAGGGGTGAGAGGATATCTCGAATGATAGAAGACCGTCCTAGAATTGTCACACACTTGGCTCGGTTGAGGTTGATAGGCCTTGAATCCAAACCGGATCGTGAAAGAGATGCTAAGGCGTGAGCAAGAGCTCGAAAATCCTTAGGCCCAATTCCAAAAGAAAGGGTTTGAAAACGAGGGGATGGACAAAATGATCAAGGGGTTGCGATACCGGATGTTAGCTGCTCCTAATGCCAGATTTCCTTGGGAAAGTGAAATCTGGGTTCATAGGCATTTCATGCACCAAAAGTGTTTGATGAAATGCCTGAATGAGCTAACTTAAGGGTTTATGCCTTTTTCATCATGGGAATGATTTGTTAAATGCATGAATGACATATTAGAACTGTTTCTTAATGCTCATTGATTCATATTTCACAAATGATGATTTGGTTTGAAAGTGGATTAGTGTAGAGATTAATGCCTTCATGAGAGCATTAGTCTAGATTAGAGTTCTAAGTTGAAATGTTTGAGATCATGTGATTGCTTGTTATGTCTTTCTGTATAAGATTCAGTCTTCTTGGTTGAGAGATTGTTTGGTCACTTATTAGGCTTGATGCATTATGCTTGCTGATTGCTTGATTATATCTAATGGTTGTTAGACTTGATTAAGTGATTTGCAAAGGGATTATTGTCATGGGAATGAATTAATCTGATTAAGAAGCCTAGACTAAAGAGTAGCAAGTGTTGCATTATGTTCTTAGCATCATGATTCAATATCTAAAGCACCCTAATCAATGATCACATCTAGAGGTTTAGCTTTTATCATTTGATTAATCACCATCATCTTGTTTTGTTTGCTTGCTTAGTTCATTAATCATAGCTTGTTTGTTTCTTGTTTTATGCTTTCTTGTTGCTGGTTTCACAAAACTCATCTTTGATTACTTGACTTAAGAACCTATCACATAAACTAGTGCCTAACTACCACACATATGGATTGACACCCCTTATACTACTTTGACAAGGGGATTGATAACCCATCTAAGACCTAAAAACCTTAGTTATCAGTAAACTACCATGAAAACACCTATGAACGTGCTTAGTTTTAAAAGCTGTTTTCCATTCATCACCTTTTTTCATCCTAGTTTGGTGATAACCGCTTTTTAAATCTACCTTAGAAAAGATGCATGCACCATAGAGCTCATCTAACATGTCATCTAGCCTAGGGATAGGATGGCGATACTTAACCGTGATGTTGTTGATGGCTCGGCAATCGACACACATCCTCCACGTTCCATCCTTTTTAGGCACGAGCAACACCGGCACGGCGCATGGACTCATGCTCTCACGAATGTATCCCTTGGCCAGAAGCTCATCCACCTGTCTTTAAAGCTCCTTGGGTTCGACCGGATTAGTACGGTAGGATGGTCGGTTAGGAAGGGTGGCTCCGGGTACGAAGTCAATTTGGTGCTCAATTCCTCAGATGGGTGGTAAACCACCTGGATCGTCTTCCGGGAAGACATCGGCGAACTCCTGCATAACATGAGAGATCTTGCTCGGTAAGACCGGCTCAGGGTTAGTATGGCTAGCCAAAGCGTCTTTAAAGATGAGTAGAACAAAAGATTGCTTTGTAGCCAAGGCATATTTCACCTCGCTAGGCCTCACAAGAAATGATTCTTTGCTCACGGGATTTCCCTCACAGGCCATTTCTAGGTTTTTCTCAGACTCTCTTTTTTGATGTAAAGTGTTTTGGGGATCACTCAAGAAGTTTTTACCTTTGGAGTTTTGCTCCAGCTTGACCTGGTCAAGATAGACCTCGTGTGGTGACAAGGGTGCTAGGACGATCTTACGGCCTTGGTGTTCAAAGGTATGCTTGTTAGAAAAACCGTCATGGATCGCCTTCTTGTCGAACTGCCACGGCCGTCCTAGAAGTAAATGACCGACCTCCATGGGAAGGACATCGCAGACGACCTCGTCCTCATATCGTCCGATGGAAATGGGTACGGTGACTTGCTTAGTTACCTTTAGTTGCCTCTGGTTGTTGAGCCACCGTAAGTTGTAGCGGTGGGGGTGCTTACGGGTTTCCAAACCCAGCTTGTCGACCATGCTGGTACTGGCCACGTTGGTGCAACTTCCTCCATCAATTATCAGGCTGCACACTTTTCCTTGGACCAGGCACTGGGTGTGAAACAAGTTTTCCCGCTGGTCTTCCTCCTTGATCCGTTCTTGTGCTATTAGAACCCGCCAAGCTACAAGTAGCTCTCCAGAAACAGCTCGCTCCTCGGTCTCCTCTTCATCATAGACCGGTTCGGTCTCCTCCTCATGATCGGACACTATCTCTCCGGTGTCGAGCATAAGCATTGCCCGCTGGTTTGGACACTTATTGGCGTAGTGTCCTTTACCCCGACACTTAAAACACTCGATGTCACGCGTCCTGGATGAGTTGACCTCGGTCTTGCCTATATTCTGGTTCGGTCTGGTGTCCGTCCTCGGTTGATTGTTAGAACGCGATGGATAGGCTGCCTTGTCGTCTCGGTAGGTCGGTCGTGAACTGGTTACAGGGGTATAACGACTTGTGCCCTTTCGTTTAATTTGCTGTTCCACCAAAACTGCCTTGTGTAACATCTCGGCCATATCGTTATACTCTTGTAACTCCATACGATCCTACAAATCCCGATTCAAGCCACTTAGAAACCTGGCCATAGTCGCGTCCTCCGGTTCAAATACATCGGCCTTGAGCATTAATCGCTCTATTTCTTGGTGGTAGTCCTCCACAGATTTGGTTCCTTGCGTAAGTCTCCGAAGCTTGGTATGTAGATCCCGATGATAGTGAGATGGAATGAACCGCTGTCGCATGAGAGTAGCCATCTCATCCCATGTCTCCACCGGTTGCTCTCCATTTCTATGTCGACAGGTCACGATCTGGTCCCACCAGTCTATGGCATAGCCATTGAACTCGGAAGCCGCCAGGTTGATCTTCTTCCTCTCCGATAGGTCTTGGCAGTTGAAAACGATATCAACCTTCTTTTCCCATTCCAGAAAAGCATCTGGGTCGTTCTTTCCGTAGAGAGCGGAAATCCGCAGCTTCATGCCTCCTAGATCGTTATCGTTTCGTCCTCTAGCCAGTTCGGCTTCTCGTCGTTCCTGGACTGGTCGTAGAGGTCGTCCACCTTCACGTCGGTAATTATTTCTGGCAGGATAATCATTTCCTCGGTCGCGGTTTCCTCCAGCTCGGCCATGGTGTGCTCCGCGGTTGCCTCGCGGCCTGACTCGGCTGCTTCCGGATGAGTGGTTATCCGCGTAGAATGGACTGTCCATCTCTTGCTTGAAGTTTCAATCCCGGCGGATATGCATTGGTTCCTCGCGGTTCTGATCGTTAGCCTCCTCTTGCCTTGGCTGTACTTCAAGCCGATCCATCCTTTGACTCATACGCTCCATCATTTCGGTGATCTGGTTGAGTTTGGCCTCCATTTCTTTGGGAGTATACCAGCAAACGTGGTTACCGTCTCGGAATGTGTAAAGGAAGGCTGCGTCAAAATTCTATGGACTGAATTCGATAAACCAAACAAAACTTTCAAGGCTAACCACCTAAGAAAGAAAAACTCGAGAAGAACAAGAGAAAATCTCAATAATTTTGATAAAAAGGTGAATGAAAAATACAATGAGTCTGGCTCTTTATATAGAGTCGAAAAGGAAGTGCAAAAGACAAGAAAATAAATGAAAGCATTTAAACTAGTTTGAATGACCACTCGGCTCCCTTTGGATAACCCTTCGGCTCCTTTCTCGCGAGTGATCCTTCGGCTTCTTAGTAACGGCTAACGAACTAACTACGGACAAGAGAGATGTAGCCCTTAACCTCATTAAAACCCCATCCGATAAACCCAGTGGGACAAACCCGGATGCAAGGAAAAAGAGTATTAAGGAACTACACCGTCCGAGTAGGTCAATAGCGTTACAGCTCGGTCATTTAGTGTAGCATCCGTATCTTTGGTCTTTAGGTCAGTGTATAACCTCCAAACGGCCATGGACGACTTCTTGGTTCGAGACCGCGTCATGGGACCGGTTGGCACGGACAAGACTTCATCTAGGTCGGCCACCTCGTCTTGCTTCCCGTCCTGAACCTCGACTTCACTTAGTTCGGCCACTTGGTCTTGATTCCCGACCTGAGCTTGTTCCCCAGTCTGAACCTCAGTTCGCATCTCGTCACTACTCGGGTCCGTGCTCGTATCACGTACTGCCACAGTCGCCTTAAGAGAAGATGGCCGGCCTCCATGGGAAGAACATCACAAACGATCTCGTCCTCGTATCGCCCAATGACTATTGGCACAGTGACTTGCTTGGTAACCTTAAGTTGCCGCTGGTTGTTGAGCCACCGTAAGTTGTAGGGGTGAGGGTGCTTACGGGTTTCTAAACCAAGTTTGTCGACCATGCTGGTACTGGCTACGTTGGTGCAACTTCCTCCATCGATTATCTGGCTGCACACTTTCCCTTGGACCAGGCACCGTGTGTGAAATAAGTTTTCCCTCTGGTCTTCCTCCTTGTCTCATTCCTGAGCTATAAGAACCCGTCGTGCTACTAGAAGTTCTCCAGACACAGCTCGCTCCTCGGTCTCCTCTTCATCATAAACCGGCTCGGTCTCCTCCTCATGATCGGACACAATCTCTCCGGTGTCGAGCATAAGCATTGCTCGCTGGTTTGGGCACTTATTGGCGTAGTGTCCTTTGCCCCGACACTTAAAACACTCGATGTCACGCGTCCTGGATGAGTTGACCTCGGTCTTGCCTGAGTTCTGGTTTGGTTTGGTGTCCGTTTTTGGTCTGTTGTCAGGTCGCGATGGGTAGGTGGTCTTGTCGTCTCGGTAGGTCGGTCGAGAGCTGGATCCAGGGGTATACCAACTGGTGCCCTTCCGCTTGAGTTGCTGTTCCACCAGAATAGCCTTGTGTAACATCTCGCCATGTCATTGTATTCCTGTAGTTCCATCCGATCCTGCAAGTCTCGATTCAAGCAACTTAGAAACCTGGCCATAGTCGCGTCTTCGGGCTCAAATACATCGGCTTTGAGCATTAACCGCTCCATTTCTTGATGATAATCCTCCACGGATTTGGTTCCTTGCGTAAGCCTCCGAAGTTTTGTATGTAGCTCGCGATGGTAATGTGACGGAACGAACCGCTGCCGCATGAGGGTGGCCATCTCATCCCCATTCCTATGTCGACAGGTCACGATCTGGTCCCACCAGTCTATGGCATAGCCATTGAACTGGGAAGCCGCTAAGTTGATCTTCTTCCTCTCCGATAAGTCTTGAAAATTAAAGACGATATCAACCTTTTTCTCTCACTCCAGAAAAGCATCAGGGTCGTTCTTTCCATAGAACGCAGGGATCCGTAGCTTCATGCCTCCTAGATCGTTATCATTTCGTCCTCTAGCAGGTTCGGCTTCACATTGTCCTGGACTGGTCGCTGAGGTCGCCCACCTTCATGGCGATCATGGAGATTCCGGGCAGGAATATTGTGTCCTCGGTCGCGGTTCCCTCCAGCTCGGCCACGGTGTGCCCCGCGGTTGCCTTGCGGCCTGACTCGGCTGCTTCCGGATGAATGGTTATCCGCATAGAATGGATTATCGATTTCCAACTCATAGTTCCGATCCCGGCGTATATGCATCGGTTCCTCGCGGTTTTGATCGTTTTCCTCCATTTGTCTTGGCTGTCCTTCAAGCCGCTCCATCCGCTGGCTCATACGCTCCATCATATCGGTGATCTCGTTGAGTTTGGCCTCCATTTCTTTGGGAGTATACCAGCGTACGTGATTACCGTCTCGGAACGTGTAGAACTCGCAATTGTTCAGAGAAAAGTCGGATGACATACAAGTACCTCGCAAAAAGAAACAAACTCGTTAGTACAAAAACCCTTTACTAGTGTTTCCCTCTTTGATTCACTCACACTCTTATTGATCTCACAAATCACACACAAGAGATTTTCTTCTGGTTCTAAACATGATTTACGATGGCTGCCTCTAGGTTCCTTGGAATATCAAGCGTTTGAAAGGAGAAGAATAAGAAAAGATAGACAGAAAAGAATACTTTCTTCTTTTTTTCTTGTTGACTTTTGAACTTTTTTTTTTTTAAATGGACTATATTTTTTATAACGTAAATAACAGAAAAGAAGAGATGAGAAAAGGCGGAAGTTGAAAAGTTAGATAGACACTACCGATTAAGCAAGTGGGCTCTGATACCACTTGATACGATTTCCCTAGGACTTGCACTTGCTCCATCGGTTGAGGTTGATAAGACTCGGCCAAATCTGTTTGATCGGAGAGATGCTAAGGGGTGAGAGGATATCTCGAAGGTCCTTAGGCCCAGCTCGCGAGAACGGATAGTGATCGAGATGGTGGAAACACCAAGTTGAGATCTCGCGGGTAAAGGATGAACAGGCGTGAGACTTGATCTCGAAAATCCTGTTGCCCCTAAACTACTTTGAACAAAATCGAAACAAGATGAAAAGAAAGGCTGCGTCGAATTCTATGGACTGAACTCGATAAACCAAATTAAAACTTTCAAGGCTAACCACCTAAGAAAGAAGAACTCAGAAAGCACAAGAGAAAATCTCAAATATTTCGATAAAGGTGAATGAAAAATACAAGTGAGTCTGGCCCTTTATATAGGGGCAAAAAGGAAGTGCAAAAGACAAAGAAATTAAATGAAAGCATTTAAACAATTTTGAATGACCACTCGGCTCCCTTTGAATGACCCTTCGGCTCCTTCTCGCGAGTGATCTTTCGGCTTCTTTGTAACGGCTAGTGAACCACATGCGGACAAGAGTGGTGTAACCCTTAACCTCATTAAAACCCCATCCGGTAAACCCAGTTGGCCAAACCCGGATGCAAGGAAAAAGAGTATTAAGGAGCTACACCGTCCGAGTAGGTTAAAAGCGTTACAACTTGGTCACTTGGTGCAGCGTCCGAATTCTTGGTCCTTAGGTCAGAACATAACCTCCAAACGGCCATTGATAGCTTCTTGGCTCGTGACCGCGTCATTGGACCGGTTGGCACGGTCAGGACTTCATTCAGGTCGGCCACTTTGTCTTGCTTCCCGACCTGAACCTGCTTTCCGACCTGAGCCTCAGTTCGCACCTCGTCATTACTCGGGTCCATGCTCGTATCATTAACTCAGCTGTCCAGCTTGTTTTAGCTCCGTACAGCTTTTTTAGCTTCTTCCGTCTATCTTTCCGGTCTTTCCTTTCTTTTTCCCGGGTAAGTCTTTGACCAATGAACTTAGCCGATTTCTTTGGACCATAAACCGAGTCTTTGCTTAGATTCTCGGCCTTTCTTTCCCACTTCTCGACCATGGTCCGTCCCAGCAATCCTATTACGGATCGAGGACGTTACACTCCTTGTCGCAGATTTTGGAATCTGTTGTACAAGGTGCACTCGTAAATATACGGCAGAAAACCTCACTGCATATGCTTCTTCATTCACTCCCAAGTCTCAATGCGTTCTTTTCCTGCACTACGACGCGTGTCTTTGAGCTGTGTCCACCATGCCATGGCACGACTCTTGAAATAAGTTGCCACCAATGGCACACGCTTGTCATCCGGAACTCCTTTGAGTTCCAACACCTCCTCCAAAACGTTTCACCAATTAAGAAAGTTCTCTAGGTTTAAAGTTCCTGCGAATTTGGGTTTATCCACTTTAAAGCCTGATTCCCACCTAGATGCAGGGTTTGGACGTGCAACCTCAACTCGAGCATCATGTCGATCTATGCATCCTTCCTCACGCTGATCATCCCTAAGGTCATAGTTTGCTGGACGATCACGATTCGCATGAATCGGAGCTGCGAACAGATTTTCAAACATGTCCTTATCCTTGGTATCATCATGTCTCCTGTCTTGTTGATACAATCTCCCTAAGGACTTCACATACTTGGATCGGCGGGGGTTGATAGATGATATGTTCATAATTTGCATCATTTAGGTTGCATATTTCATTCCAAATCATGTTTTATTTCATGCATTTTAGGTCATTAGGGTTTGTTTTAGAACTTAGGAGTTGCATTAGGTCCCAATGAGTCTTTGCATGTTTTGAGTGTTTATCAAGTGTATTTGGAGCTATTTGGAGCTGAAAAGATGAATCCAGGAAGTGGAATGGTGATCAAGGCTTGAAAGATGGTGAAAATGGGTTTTGGAGGTTCTCGGCCATTCTCGCATACCGCAGGAAGGTTTTTCTCGGCCATTTTCGTGTACCGCGGCTGGATTCCTCGGCCAAAACGCATACCGGCTAATGAATCTCTCGGCCCAAATCTCCGGGTGCAGACACGTTTCTGAAATC